AATTACACAAAGTTGGCCAGTAGTACAATGTTCACCTTATTTTGGGGAGGTGACGTGTTTGCACCAAATTCACTCTATGATGGAGTTAATGTCAAAGAGTTTCTTCAAGAAAAATACGTAAATTGTTACAAACATTTGGCAAGGTACTAACTATCTTTTCTTTAAATGATGATTTACATTGTTATTATTATTTATTTGACAATTTCATTTTTATTTTCTACCAGGCGGATTCAACATTTAGAAGCAGTGATGGGATTTGAGCTCATGAATGAACCTCAGTAAGATCAATGACTAATTTTTATAATGAAGAGTAATATAAAACGATTAACGATAATTTCGAATCTTTTACAAAAAGCCCCGGGTATATCGGTCTTTCCGATTTCCATCGCTATGACGCTGGTACAACGCTTGTTTTCGGCGATTCTCCAAGCGCTTTACAATCTTTTGCTCTGGGGGATGGACTTACGCAGGAAATTGAGGTGTGGATTAGGTCTTGGCCATTTCCCACTCGCAAACATTCTACCCGGCTTGTGAACGAAGAAGGAGTGTCTGCTTGGATAAATGGAGAGTGTATTTGGAAAAAACATGGATTGTGGGATGTCGATTCCAAAACAGGAAAGCCAAGAATTCTGAACGCCAATTATTTTAAAAGGCATCCTAAAACCGGTGAAAATGTGAATTTTTATAAAGATTTCTACCTTCCCTTCGTACGGAGGTATTCCGAAGCTATACAAAGTGTAAAGAGCGACTATCTGATTTTTGTGGAGCCCATACCCAATGAAGTAGGTGATCCTCCGTCAGTTGCAACAACCAAGATTTTTGAAATAAGGAATACCAATCGATATACGTATGTGCGTGTATCTTCTTTTTTTTCTTTTATGTAGCCTCCACCAACATGGACCTCCTCTGATCATCACGAAAATATAGTTTATGCACCTCATTGGTATGATTTGGAATCATTATTCAAAAAAGCTTTTAACGGTAGGATTACTCATGATGTGCAACGTCTAACACGGGTAAGTCTTTATTGTTTAGAAGTTCAGCGTTGGCGTGCCGGCTTACCAACGATCGAGGTTTCTTTTTTAACAGGGTCCTCAGCACATTGTGTCTGCAACATATTTCGGAATCTCCGGTGCGAAAAAGAACTATTTTGGCCAAGTTCGAAATATCGTTAAAAATGGTCTTAAAAATGTGGGTGAAAAACCATGCGTCATAGGCGAATGTGGAATACCTATGGACATTAATGACAAGAAGGCTTTCGAGACCGGTGACTACACGCACCATATTAATTTCTTGGATGCTGTATTGAGTGCCATGGAAAAAAACCTTGTGAACTTTACGTAAGAAAAATACTTTTTGGTTTAACCAGCCATTTACAAGATTCTAATACGAACTGATTTCCGTTAGATTGTGGAATTATAATCCATTAAATGATAATGCGCACGGCGATCATTGGTATGGTGAAGATTTTTCAATATTTTCTCCGCTACCTTCCAAACCTGTAGTTTCAGAGCATGTCACCACCACCACCACCACCACTACTACTACCACTACTGCTACTACCACCGTCACTACCACGAATAATCATTCGTTGACAAAGTTAAAGTCTCGCACGCAAAAAGAGTTGTCTATTAAAACGTCTATGCTTGAGGATCAACAAAATACAGAAGTTTGTGCCGAATGCACTACCACCAGTCCAACATCCCCTTTCAATCTAAATTCATGGGAACTCATGGAACAAGAGAACCATTATGATCCGTCTCACCACGCTGGTGGGCGAGTCTTAGATGCTGTTTTGGTAAGAATTTTACTTTGCTGATTCTTTCTATTATTTCAACGATACGAATTTTTAATTCTTAATTTCGATGTATTTGATAGCGTCCCTACGCTGCCAAATTTCCTGGTATACCACAAACTATGTCGTTCAACTTGGAAACCAAGGAGTTCATTTTCAAATTCACGAATTTTCCATCGTCACAACCGATCAATAGTGATTTTTCTAACATTGTGGCTCCTGAAGTCGAAATATTTATACCGAATTACCATTATAAAAAATCAGGACTTGATATTCGTGTTTCAGATGGTGATTGGCGATATGTTAGAAGCGGACAGACTTTGTATTGGAGAGTCAGGGATTGGTCTACGGAAGGCTTGGTTCATTCATTGAGAATCAGGGTAGTTGATAATACCAATCAAAAGATTATGCCGACGTCAGGAAGTGTGAATCTTTCTGATTTTAGCAAGAGTACCTTTGATTCTAACGAATTCAAACATTACAATACGAGTGTTATATTAGTTTTGGTAGTGACTTTGTTCCTAGCCATGTGTTCTCCAACGGAAATAATGTTTTGGGCTATGGGCAAGGATATATTTTAAGCGGCAATAAAGCCAACGACAAATTGAAGGATAGTGAGGTTGGGTCGGAAAAATTGATTTATTTTATCCAAGTTGGAATAGAAAACCAAACATTAATTTCTCACTTAAAGCTAACGCTTTATAAATATTTATTTAACAATCTTGAAGGTAGACGGTAAAACTGTGACTTAAAATCATGTAATCTAAATCCAAATATTTAAAATTTAGAATTATTCTTATTGGGTTGTAATAGATATGGGTAATAACTTTTAATAATAAACTTTACAAAACCAGAATTCGTGTTTTTTGGAATTATGAAAACAATCATGCATTTACGACGAAAGCAAATATTTCCATTTCTGTTTAGGTTTTCAACAGAAATGGCGCATAAATGGACTGTATTAAAAACCATATACAATGTATACATCAGAGAATAAAGAACTGTATTATGTGAAGTATCAATCTATCAATTAAATCTATATTTAAGTCGAATTGTTTTATTATTCATAATTAAATAAATAAAAATTCACTTACAGTATTATTCTAATATTTCAAGAATACTTTTTAATCAACAATAAAAGAATATATAATGAAAGAGTTTTTTTTTTTGAAATTATCTTTAATTATATACAGTTTATCTGTTAAACTAACATATACTATACATCCATTCAAAGTATTTAATACTGAAATCATTCATATAATATTATTTATGTCATTATGCAAATTTCAAAATTAAACAAAGTGCAAAATTGGTTTTCAAAATAACAAAAGACTTGATATAGATTTTTTTTGCATTAGTAAAGAAATTGGTCGAAACTAAAATAGAAATTATTATTATTATTATTATAAAAATTTAGAATAAGAATTTTGTAAAAAATTTTGGTTTTGATTTAAAAGAATATTAGTTTTGAAATTGATGAAAAGTTAAATAAATTATTTAAGAATAATTTTTTATATCTTTAAAGAATATTAAAGTAGTTTGTTTTTTTGTTTTTCTTTAAAAAATAAATCTAATTCTTCAAAAATTGAGTTGGCAAATCAAAATCTTTATATACTGTATCTCAAATATGCTATAAAGATATAAGTATTTAAGAGAATTCTAATTTTGAATTTGATTTCTTGATTAAGTTGAATAATAATATTCTTTTTCTTAGTTTTCTTAAAAATAAAACTTTAGCTTTTTATATTCTTTCTAATAATTATTTTAAAGTTTTAAATTATTAAAGTTAAAAAAAATTTTATCTTATACTTTTTTTTAATAAAAAAATTTAGATTTAATTTTTGTCTAATTGGACTTTTTGAAATTTTATTAATATTCAATAGTAATTTTATTAGTTTTTTAGAATTGTTTCTAATAGATAAGAATTTGAATATCTACTTTATAATATAATTATATTTGCTTACAAATTCAAGAGAAATATAATCATTATTTTTATTATTATTATTATTTGAAAGATTATATTCTTCAATAGTTATTTCTTGAATTATTATATTTTTTTTATACTTGTATATTTATATCTTGCTTTATTATATCTTTTCTTATTAATATATTTTCTTTTATTTTTAAATTAGATTTCTGAAGGTTTAAATAATCTTTTGATTTTAAAGTTATTAATAATATAAAAAATATAGGTCTTGTTATAAAAAGAATAACTTTAATTAAAATTATATATTAAAAAAGTTGGCAAAATTAAATACATATAGAGTTATAAATATTTTTTGCTAGAATATAAATATGAATATTGATAAAAGAATCAATCTTCAAATTTTTTGAAATTAGAAAGTTTAAATTATTGTAAAAAAAGTTTTTTTATTGTTTTTTATAATTAATAATTTATTATTTTTAAAAACTAATAATATATTTAAGTCAAGTTTTTTTGGAAAATTAATATTCATAAGAATAATATTAAATTAAATCAGTATTAATTTAGATAATCTTGTTAATTAAGTAATTGATATTTTGATAACTTGCTTGAATATTTTATAATTATAATTTTTAGTTTAAAAATTAAATTGATATTTAATAAGATTAAAATATTGTTAAAAAATAAATTGAAGCCTATTATATTTAGTAATTGAAAAAGTTGTATTATTGAGCTAAAAACCAGTTATAAGATTGAATATTTTATTTTTTTTTTATAAAATTTCTAGTTATATCAATTATGTTTAAGAAACTTGTTTAAAATAATTTTATTTTTTATCTAAAACTTTTTAAAAAATCTGGTTTTTGAAAACTTATTATTTTTAAAAATATCTTAAAATATATTTTAATAATCAATAAATTTATTAAGATATTTAATTAATTTTTTTTTAGATATAAAAATATAAATAAAAAGACTTTTTGTTTGGATTATATTAAAATTTAATATAAATAATTAAAAGATTTGATAAATTGAATCTGATAAAATTGATAATAGATATTAATTATCTTTTTAAATAATAATAATAATAAATTGTAAAAGAATTAAATAGTTTAATTGTTTTTTTTTTCTTTTTTTTTTAACGTAGATAAACACCATTTCTTTATTTATTTGTATATAATAAGGTATACATTATGGAAAGAAACAACATCTCTTACATGTAATTGCAATAAGTTAAATGCTAGCTTGCCTACAGTAATCACCTAACTTCTACTAGAAAAAATATTTTAAACTAGTTTATTAATTAAGTGATACTGAGCAGCTGTGAATACCTACTCAGAATTTTGTGCAATAAAGTTACGATAATCAGAAATAAGATTATTTATACATTTTGAATAAATGAGATTGCTCTGAATAAATGTTTTTGTAATAAGGGTAGGAATATCAATTATAGTACTGTCGGGAGCTGATGTTGGAATATTGTTGCTGGGAAATGAGCTATCTTTTTGTATTCTTTTATTATCAGCATTGTCATTGTTGTTACTATTGTTAGACAAGGAATTTGAACTGTTGATAGTTATATTGTTATTATTGTTATTGTTTTTCTTTTTTTTTGAGATTTCCGTTCCACTTGATACCTGTATTGGGGGCAGTGTTTGCTGTACTACATCGGGGTTTCCAGATACAATTATAGGAGAATTTAAGAGCTTCAGTGGATGCTCAGATCCATTTATGTATGTCAAATATTGAAAAGATACCAGTTGTAATTCCACATGCAAGTCCTAATACTTGATATACATTTAACAATGGGCTGTTGTCATTATCTGGATGGAGAATGAGGTTAATGGAATCTATTATTTGCCTGATTTCTTTTTTTGCTGAAGAGCAACTAAAGACATAAAAGATATTTTCAGTCCAGAGGCTGTATCTTGGACAATAAGGATCCTTGTAAAGTTCAGGATATAATTGATGAAAAAATTCTCGTATTGGAAGTGTACCAGAAAGTAATTTGACTCTAAATACGATGAGATCGCTATAAGCATTATTGTGGTATCCTTTAGGAGTTTGTTGAAGGAGTTGATTATTTGAAGCTCAAAGGCATCGTGAAACTGTTCAAATGTTTTGATTATGGATGAGCTTTCGCAAATAATATAAAATCTGGTGATGCCAAAGATTTTTTTGCACCATCTTGAGCAACTACCCAAATCTGCTTTGTTAATGGTGGAGTTTTCTGCGAAATAGAGAGTTGGATTGTTCTACAAAATCAAGTTGGAATATCTCGACTTGGATTTAGGCTTGGCGGAAACAATAGATATATATTTTTGTATTGTGATTTGTAAGATTTTTGAAGTTAAGGTGGCAAAACTAACTATGACATGCTTCCTGGGAAAGATAGGGGGTGTCTGGATGATTTTTTTATTATTTCTGACTTCAATAGTGAAGTGAGAAGGGCACTATTGGATGATGTCATAAATGATTTGGAGGATATTGCCTTCTAAAAGTCCTGGATTGGACATTGTAACTTTAGTCTCATTGACTATTAATTCTTGTTTGTAAAGTTGGATATGATATAAGTTGCATTGGCCTATTGTCTGCAGAGAAGAAATGGACAGTATAAGTGATGGAATATCAATTGATTGGAGGATAATTTCGTTTTCTATTGGGGAATTTGCTAATTCCTCAATGATATTACAGAGGTGGTACTTGGCATTGGATGAAATTTTATTGATCATTCAGAGTGAAGAGGCATTGGAGCTTGAGAAGATTATTGAACAGTAATTGTTGATGGAAAGGCTCAGAGGGCAGCCAGAACACTTGATAAGGTTGCTGTTAGGATCGATCATATAATGCCTTCCCTTGAGGAATATATTTTCCTGGATGTGATAATATCTTTTGTGGATTTTAACTATAGTATTTATGGTGTGTAAGAACCAAAATATTGGGTTTGAATTTGGTATTGATCTGTAAGATCCTACAAGATTGCTATTGTTCTTGAAGTTTTTGAACCAGACTGGTTCAGGACCACACCGCACAATGCCTATATATGAAATGAGTTGAGACCAGGATAATTTGATTGGACTGTTGAACCAGAGGAGTTGGCTAGAAAATTTAATGTTGAGGGCATTGGATGTGTTGATTGCTGTTCCCTTGAGCTGTGATGGTAGACTTTTAAAAAACAGGCCTATAGAATTATATGCATTTTCTAATTGAAGGGAACAGTTTGGGGGACATATTTGTATTTTGAAGTTTTTTGCAGCTCCAGCTGCATACAGTATTCAGTTGTCTTGGTCAAATCTTTCAGGATCACATATTGGACAAAACCAAATGGCTTCTTTTTTTTGGATACACTGTATAGTTTGAATTATATATTTTCTTGTTATTGGGATGGCTAGCTTGATTATGAGGTTGTTAATGAGACTTGATCTTTGGTGTTCTTTGAGTAGTGGTATGCTGAGCTCTCCTCGGCTCATTATGATTGAATTGGAGTATTTAGAAGAGATTTTGAAGCCAGACTTGATAACTTGATTAACTTTTCTTTGAATAGTATTAAAGAGACTCTTGTTTAAGTGAAAAATTGATAGGAAGTATTCAAATTTCCTCATAACTACCCACTCACAAATATGCTGTTTGATTTCTCCTTTCTATTGATGTTTGTTAAGT